ACTACCTCTGTGACCTGCACCGAAACAGCAGTATGTTAACTGTAAAGAAAGATGAACACTCTCCCCCCAGGCTACTCAGAGCCTCCAGAACCCCGCGGAGCATGAGCTCTGGGCCGGTCCCCACTCAGCGGCTGTGAGTGTCAGTTCATCAGGTTCATCCCATCATGATAAACAGGAAATGGACTCAGTTTCTCTGTTCTTCAGACCCACAGTCAGTGCCCAAGGAACCAGCAGGGACGCGCCCACGACACCGTCCACCGGGGGAAGTCACTGCTGCAAAGGGTCCCTTTCCAGTTCTGCAGAGGAAGGATGTCACTGGAAGGTCTAAGATGTGTCTGAGCCAAGACACCGTAAGTTTGACTGCCTCGCATGCTTGTGAAAGTTGGAAAAGATTTAAGGAAAAACAAAAAGTAATCCACGTTTGAACTGCGGTGATAGTTGAGGAGGACTGAACGTCGAAGGAAGAGGCAAATCTGTCTTCCAGAAGTGCAGCCAGAAGGCTAGTTACAAGCGAGAATGAAGAGATTTCATGTCACGAACTGTGGGCATCTTCTCAGGAGGGCCAGTCCCTGGAGAAGGACCTCATACTTGGTAAAGGGAGGGTCAGTGAAAGAGCGGAGAGGGGGTAAGACGTGGGCTTGCCCAGCAGAATCTGTGAGGACAGGGTCAGGCTGCCTTCTGTTGTTGCCACGATTTCCGCTGTCTCGAAGAACATACTCAAGATGTTTTACTGTATCTGAAACTATTGCTTTCATGCTTTTCATGCATAGACAAGTACAACATATGCTGTAAACTAAGTCAAGCATTTGACTGACATTACGTAGGTGCCACACCTACCTGTTTCAAACTATGCACAAATTCAACTTGCAGACAAGATTTACACAGGGAACTCACTCTTAATCCTGTGATTGTCCATATATGCACCGTGTATCTGCACAACGTCCGAATCAGACAGCACTGTATCTCACTGTGTGAACGTACTGTGTGTCAAGCGGCGTCTGACCGTATACAACAAACGCATCCCAGCTTGACCACCTTTTACATTTTCAATTCAGTGACGTTAATTATGTTCGCCATGGTGGGCACTACCATTGCCATGTCCAAATGTTTTGTCCACCCTTACCAGAAACTCCACCTCCCCACTCGGCGCCCTGGCAACACGCAAGCCTTCTCGGACAAAGGACTGGGGCTGGACGCGAGGCCATGAATGGAACTGAACGAGCTGTCAGCTCAGGGTGTCCACATTCCTGATAACCTGCCTCTCACAGAAACAATACCCCTGTCAGAGAAGTGACCGATCCTGATTCACGATGAGTCTGTGTGACAGAGGATAGTGCCCCATGGATTTTTAAGCTTTTTTTTTTTTTTTTTAAATTTATTTTTAATTTCAGTAAAAATTTACAGAGGCTTTGGATTTCCATTCATTCATTGTTGCACTTTTCTCCCCTTCCAACCCTCCCCCCTAGTACACTACCCTCTTAGAAAAGTAAAAGAAAAATTCTTTCATTGTTTTACAAAACCTCCCCCAGGCCTACTCCACCATGTAGCCATCACTCCAGACTCCTGTCACGACAGAAATACCTAATCACATATCTCTTTTAAACAGTTTTCTCCCTCCTCTGTTTCAGTGCAGTATACATTATTGAACCCATCTTTCTAAGTCTCCCCTCAACCCTAAGGTCAGTCCTCTTTTACAACAGTGGCACCATGCAATATTTGTCCTTTTGTGACTGGGATACTTCACTCAGCATAATGTTCTCCAGAGTCAACCATTTTGAATAATACTGCATGAATTCCTTGGTTTTCACTGCAGCATAGTATTTCATTGTGTGAATAAACCACATAAGCTGTCATTTTTACAAGGCTAGATCACCAGGCCTCTTTCACCAAGGAGCTGCTGTGCGGGTTACAACTGCCGCACGTCAGGGCTCCCTAGGTCTGAGAGAATGAGGTGGGGGATATGGGGGGCAGAGTAAAATGGGGAGTTCCAGCTGTGGCAAGTGCTGTTCCCCACCCAGCCCAGGGATACTCCTACCCCTGCCACTTCCCCTGCGTCTTCCACAGATGATAATACTTCCCCAAATCCCCTGTCCTTCTGAAACAAAACCCATGCAAGCTTCCCTCAGAGTATGAGAGGAGCTGGGAGTCCATGGCAACAGAAGCCTAAATCCAAGCTACCACAGACACGCAGGATAACTAATACTCATGAACGGGAACCCCCATCCTTAACTTGGACCAGGGGGGCCCTCTGGGTCCTGTAGGACTCTGAGGTGTCATGTCCTGTTCTATCATTTCCTGGGGTGTGACCTCAGTCCCAGCTGTTCCATCTGTAAAATGGGCTAGTAAGTACCTCTACAACTTTACGTTAAGACACCCCGGTGACACAATGGCCTCAGTTCCTAACTGAAAAGTCAGCAGTTCTCACTGAACCAGAAACAGACCAAGCAGCCTGCTCCTGTCATGATTACAGCCCAGGAGACCCTTCTCTCTCACAAATGGTCGCGGTGAGTTGACCACTGACTCGATGGCACTCAACAACGCCCAAAAGGCAAAGGAAGAGTAGAGAGGCTCACCAGGGCCGGACGCGGGCTCCGCTTGTGTTCAGTGTAAACCCTTAAACATGAAAACGTGTGAGCCTAAGAGTTTATCAGCTCGCCCACTCCTAATGCAAATATGTGAAGCCTACACTGTCAATTAAACCTCTATAAAACTGTTATAACACTAGTAAGAACAACCACCACCACCCATCGGGTTCCTGAGACCGCTCCTCTTTCTCCTGAGGAGCACCCGTTGGATTCAAACTACCAACCTTTTGGCTAGCAGCCCGCCAAGGCCACTTTATCAAGAGATGGGAAAAAGAGCAGTGTGTGAGACTCTCACCCCAAAGGTGAGACCTTTCCGAGGGGGAAAGGGTCTTTTCTCCAACCTCCTCCGGCTCCTTAGGGAAGGACCTGATCACTAGGTGACCACCTGAAACCCACCTTGGCACCCAGGACCAGTGTTTCTGGCTCTCCCAGGGCGGTGACCACTATCACGTGGTCATTCCCCAACCCCTCCCTCCTTCCCTCCAGCAGAGAACCAGGGAGGGGCTCTCAACGATGGAGCTCAGGGAAGGTTTGCAGGACTCCAACCCCTGTGGACTGTGAAGTTCACAGGAAGCTGGGGCCTCCCCTAGAGGGACACTGCAGCGACTATATCCCTGATGCAGAGGGAGCCCCTTGGACTTGCTACTCTCCGCTGGGTGGACGAGTCCTAAGGGACCACAGTGAAGCCCTCTACGGCCCGAGTTCACCTTTTGGATGGATTAGGTGCCCGCCCCCCACCTGTGGGTTGCCTTTCTGATGGCACCCTGCCCCCCTACCCCACCCCCACCGCCTGAGTTCTCTTCTGACGACTTCGCCCCTTCCCGCCTGAGTTCTTTTTTTGACTTTGACCCCTCGCTGCCTGAGTTCTCTTCTGATGACTTGGGGGGGGATTGAGTTCTTTTTTTGACTTTGACCCCTCGCCGCCTGAGTTCTCTTCTGATGACTTGGGGGGGGTCCCCCGCCTGAGTTCTCTTCTGATGACTTGGGGGGGGTGAGTTCTTTTTTTATGACTTTGACCCCTCGCCGCCTGAGTTCTCTTCTGATGACTTCGGGGGGGGTCCCCCGCCTGAGTTCTCGCTGCCGAACTTTGCCCCCACCCTCCGCCGCCTGAGTTCTCCTCTCTTGAACGGACAGTGTCCCCTTCTTCGCAGCCCCAGCTCGTGCCCCGAAGAATTAAGTCCTGGGCAGCCCGCAGTCTCTCTCCCGCCCGAGTTCTCCTCTGACGGCCTTTGCCCCCGACCGCCCGCCGCCTGAGTTCACATCTGAGAGACCACCCCTTGCCTGTGGTCGCCTCTGATGGACCTGGTCCCCGGCCGCCTGCGGCCACCTAACCCCCCCAGCCCCCACTCCACCGCCTGGGTTCGCGTCTAACGAACCTCACCCCTCGCCGCCTGGGGTCGCCTCTGACCAGCTGGCCCCCCGCTCCCACCGCCTGGGCTCGCCTCTGACAGATCAAGCCGCCTCGATGCCAGCGGTCACCTCTCTGATGGGCTGGGCCCCCCCGAGTTCGCTCCTCTGACGGACCCAGCGCCGCGCCATGTGAATTCGCCCCTCGGGCGCCCTGAACCCCAGCCGCCCGTGGCCGCGTCTCTGACGGGATCGGCCCCCGACGCCCAAGTTTCTGCTCTGACAGCTTCGCACCCCGCACCCCCGGCCCCCGGTAGCCACGCCGACTGGACCCACCTGGGCTCCGCGCCTCACGCTAGCCGCTCCGCGCGCCTCCGGGTGGGACACGCCCCGCGGAGGAACCCGGCGGAGCACAAGCTCCGCCCCGACCCCACCCGCGGAAGCCGGATCTACTTCCTTTAAAGGGCCTGCTTTCCACACGTCGTCCCACCCCCTGCCCCACCCGCGGCCGCCTGAGAACTGCAGATTCCGCTGGGATTTCTCGAGGTTCCATCCTCGCGGAGGTCAGAGAGCCTGGCAGGCACAGATCCCGGGCCAGAAAGCAGTTGTGACGTCTTAACCGGTCCCGGGGCTGGTGGCCCTGCCAGTATGCTCTCCGTAGCGTAGCAACGCCGGGCCGGGCCCTGACCCCATTGGCTGGCTCCTGTGGTCTGAGTGACAGACACGTGGGGCGGGGTCTCTGGCAGGAGGCGTGATGTGTGTGCGGGGCGGGGCCTCAGCAGAAGGCGGGGCGCGGGCGGGGGCCTCAGGAGGCGGGGCGTGTGGGGGCGGGGCCTCAGGAAAGGAGGCGGGACGTGCGTGCGGGGCGGGGCCTCAGGCCGGAGGAGCGGCGTGCGCACAGGGCGGGGCCGCGCAGTGCGTGCGGCGGGGGGCGTGGCCTGGCCGCAAGGCCGCAGCTGTCAGTTGCCAGCAGAGGCGGCGCTGTCAGTTGGGCCTGAGACGTGAATAAGCGGGTGCGGGGCGCGGCCCCGGCCCAGCGGCGCCGTTGGTTGGCCAGCGTGCGGGCGGGGGAGGGCCATGGCCCTGCTGCTGTACCTGGGCATGACCGCGGCGCTGGCCCGCGGCTGCCTGCACTGTGACAGTAACTTCTCGGTGAAGTTCTCCTTCTACCGTAACCACGTCAACCTCAAATCCTGGTGGGTCGGCGACATCCCCGTGTCGGGCTCGCTTCTCACCGACTGGAGCCAGAACACCATGAACGAGCTGCATCTAATCATCCCCGCAGAGATCAGTGAGTGCGGACTGGCCTGCGGTCCCCCAAGATCCACCCAATCCCTGATGCTCAGACCTCGCCCCCAAAACCCAGCCCCCGGACTCGAGGTCACCGGCCTACGGCCTCCTCCTCCTGTCCCCAGCCCGGGAGAAGCTGAGCGAGGTGGCCAGCGCGGTATACCAGAGGTTGGATCAGCTGTACCAGGGGCGGATGTACTTCCCGGGTAAGGGGTAAATCGAGGCAGAGCCCAGCCCGTGGACATACCTGCTTCCCGACACAACCCAGAGCCCACTCCCCCTCTTCTGCCTCTCCTATCAGGGTACTTCCCCAACGAGCTGCGCTCCATCTTCCGGGACCAGGTGCACCTCATCCAGAATGCTATCATTCAGAGTGAGGAGAGGACACAGAGGGTGTCCGGGCTTGGGGAGGTGCTGCAGGGAGAAGGGTGGCGGGGACAAGTGGGAGGTGCAGAAACCCCTCACCATGCTGGGAAGATCCTTCTAGCTCAGTGCTGGGACCAGGGCTGGGGGAGCCCAGAGAAACTCAGGAATTTGAATAAAGGCCACCACTGCCTCCCTCTCCTCCCACTGGTGCCTGGAGGGCTGTGGAAGCCCACACTGGGACAGCAGGCCCCCTCCCCTCTGAGGGACGGATGCCCATGCCCAGATGTGGGCAGCCAAGGGCCGGGGGCAAAGTGTTGCCTTCTTGTCCCCCCACAGGCCGCATCGACTGTCAGCAACACTGTGGTGAGTGGGGCCCTGCCTGGGCCAGGGTGACAGGCCCAAGACGACATGGATGTGGAACCTGAGGGAGGTGGGCCTGTGTTGCAGGCATCTTCCGGTATGACACCATCTCTTGCACCAACTGCACGGACTCCCATGTTCTCTGCTTTGGCTACAACTGCGAGTAGGGCCAGCGGCTCGGGCAGGGTGCTTCTCTTGGGGGGTGGGAGCATGCCTCCTGCTCACCCCCGCCTTCCTTGCAGGTCGTCTACGCAGTGGCAGCAGGCAGTACAGGGCCTTCTCTCGTACATGTGAGTGGGGCCTGGGTAGCTGCTGGGCTCAGCGTGGGGACGCCACACTGGACCAGATGGACCTGACCTGGTCCCTATTGTTGTAGAAGCGCATGGCACAAGTAAGTCCCCTTCGTCAGCCAAGACATCCTATCAGAGGCTGTGGGGGTGCGCGGGGCGCTCACAGGGTGAGTATGTGAGCACAGGGGCCCGAGGAGCCAGTGGGGGACCGCCCTTCCTTCAGGGTCTCCTGTCCCACGCCGATGACTCCATCCCCATGCGCCACAAGCACGGATTCTTCCTGGCGCTCACAGCCTGACTGGGCCCTTGTCTTTCAGACAGGACACCAGCATGAGGTAAGGCTGCAGGACGTCCCCTCCACAGCCCTGGCCTTCTGGGGTGGGGTCTGAGGGAAGGAGGCAGGGAGGCAGGTGCTGTGGGAGTTCCCTGGAGCCTGGCGAGCAAGTCTGGCTGTCATCTGTACAACCATACCCCATGTGATCATCCTGTGAACCCACCTCCTTCTCGTCTTCACGTCTCACCGGGGGACAGACACACCCCAGCTTTGTGAGTGACTCAGGAGGGCGCCTTGGGACCAGTCCTCAAAACCCAAGGCCCTCAAATCCCCCTGGGGTAGACTGGCCATGTGGGCAGGAGGGGTGGGGACAGAGGGTGTGCTGTGCCTGAGCTGACAACTGGCAGGTGGCCCTGTAGCCTAATGTTGCCGCGCCTCGTGTGTCTGGAGCCACCACACCTGGCCAACTTGACGCTGGAGAACGCCTCCGAGTGCCTGACCCAGCACTGACGCTGCGGCGAGGGCCAGCCAGGACTCAGCAGGAAGCCAGCTGCCCAGAGTGGGGCTTCAGCAGGTCTCCTGGAGTGACCAAGCAGGGAGGTGGCTTTTGTATATAGTGCATTGCCGGGCAGGCTCCCAGCACTTCATTGGGGATTAAATTGTGCTGACATTTCTCCTCCAGGTCTTCTTGGCAGGAAAGGGTCAAGGGGTGGTCCCTGGGCACAGTCTCAGCTGGTGTGGTCAGTGAGCCTGACAAACATCAACAGTGTCTCCAAGCAGGGTAGCTTCCAACCACACTCTTCTGGACAGTGAAGTCCAGGCTCAGGCGTGGGCAGTGTCTTTCCTGAGGGTCCTTCCTGGTTTCTCCCAGTCCTGGAGGTGAGGCTGCAGCTCACACCCCTCTACCCTCTGCCCAGGCTCCTAGGCACCTTCCCCAAGCAGCCAGGTTTTCTGACGACACACTCGGGACAGTCTGTGCGCCCTGAGCCCACACTGGAGCGGCACAGGGCCTGCTCTCATTCTGATGCCACGTGTAGTACAGGCTATAGGACAGGTGCAGTGGGGCTCGTCACTTCAGAGCAGAAGCAGGGAAGGGTGACAATGGGGGGATATACTGTGGCATCCCGCAGTAGGCCCAGCTTGTCCTCAGTCAGTTCCACCGTCGTCCACCACTCTGTGCACGGCCTTCCTTCTGCATCGGAGATGGTAGACCAGCTTCCGGCACCAGGCGAGTGCCCACGGGGGTCACCCTGGAAAGGTCCTGCCAACAGCACTCTGTTCCAGACAGTGGCTACTGTCTTGCAGAAAAGGTCCCTGGGTGCCAACTGCTGCACTCTGAAGTCTGGTGTTTGACCAGCAGCAGCACTGAGATGGGTGGAGTCGGCTTCTTGGTGGGGGGTCACCAGGTGGCAGGACGTGTGCTCAATGGCAGTGCTCTGGATTTTGGTTCTTAGAATGCCTACATTCTGGTCTCTGAAATGCAGCACATTTGAAATGAGAAACTTGGCCTGCCATTTGGAAGGGTTGGTGGGAAACCTCTGGTTACATCCAAAGTTGGGCATCAGCGCCTGCAGGGGTCTGGAGACCAGTGAGGAGGCGTGGCAGCGAGTGCTGGGTCTAGGGTGGCAGCGAGGAGGCGTGGCTGTGGGTGGCAGGTCTGGGTGGAGGCGTGGCTACAGGTGGCAGACCTAGGGGCAAGAGTGGAGGTGCCTGTATTAAGTGGCACCAGGACAGATCCAATGGCTGGTCTGGGCCGCTGTGACTCTTCCTGGCTTCTAGCTTGGCATCTGTGTATAGGGAACCATACGAGATAGGGTCCTAGATGGCACTGCCAAGAAAGAAAGGCTGTGGTACCCTCACTGCAGAACGGAGGCTCACAGTATCTGCAGGCCGCCTCCTCCCACCCGCCTGCGGCCATCTGCACCCTCCATCAGGCAACAGTTTCCCTGCGGCCTAGACTTGTCACCATCAGCCAAGGGGACCAGCAACAGCAAGGCGGCAGGCCTCCCGAGTTTCTACCATCAGCCTCCCTGCAGCGGAAGGTTCTGCAGGCGAGGAACAGTCACAGAAGAGACAGCCCTGTGCACTGCTTCAGCTCCGGCGATCCAACCCCGGGGACCTTGGCAAGGACCCCAGCATGGGGTGCGGCTGCCCCTGGGGACAGTGCAAGCCCTGGCTGAGGACACACACACTAGCTCAGGCAAGAACCCTGAAGTGTAAACATCTGTTTTGCGATTTTATTGGATCATCTTGACACAAAATCATTACAGCAGCGTGATATGTCTGTCTTCTGTATACAGGAATGTCGATAGCAAATAAATTCTTATGTAACACATCATACAGTTTCAAAATCCTAGAATCACTGCACAGGATTCTGTAATAGATTACTCTACATGCTAAAGTGACAGTTTTCATCAGAAAGACACGTTTAAAACGTCATCAAGGACTGGAGTCTCTGAGGGGAGTCCCGTCTCGCCCGCGAGCTGGTCACTGCAGTGGGCCTGGGCCCGGCCGGCGGCACACCCCACCCTAGGTACCTCTTGCCCAGGTGGTAGTGTGCTGAGGGTCTGGCCGCCCAGCAGGCCACCAAGGTGCCCACGGCCAAGTGCAGTCTGTTTTAAGCTGGGGCCCTCCGGCAGGCACAGGCAGGGTCGCAGACACCCCTTCCAGTGTGGACAGTGACAAGGTGGAGGGGACCCATGACAAAGCAAGTAAGACACATTGAACAGAACGAGAAAACAGTCCACCACCCACCAGTGATTCTGACACACCTGCGGGGACATCTCGGTCCTTCCCTGGGCCACAGCCCACTGTTGCAGGCAGACACGGAGGTATAGACAGGAACAACAGCCCACCGTCTGGCCAGCAAGGCCAGGCTGAGACCAATGGGCTGCCCGCTATGCCACACCGGCCCTGCCGCAGGGACAGGGCTCACCCCTGTCCCCTGGTGCCCAGGACAGCCACACCGGTGCCAGCCCTCAGAAGAGGCCACACCAGGCCGGGGGCTACTACACTGGAGCAGGCTACTTGCCAAAGAAAAACATCAAAGTGAAGAGAGAATCAAATAAACCAACACAGCAACAAGTGACCTGTGACGTCCAGTCAGTCGGCAGAGGACTTAAATTAAAAATGCACAGCAGACACAGCACGTAGGGACAAAGGAAAGGCGGGGCTGTCGACTGTCCCTGGTGTTTGGGTGGTGAGGGCTGCCACTCAGCACTGGGCCAGCGTCACCTTCATCTCGTCCAGCAAGTTGCCCAGGAAGGTCGAGTCACTGCACTTGCCATCTACTGACACGGAGTTGTCACCCTGAGACGGGGACAGAACATAGTGTTACAGGTAATAATGGGAGAATGTGGTCTCCAGACTCTACCTACTCACTGGCCACATCCCAGGACAGCTGCCCTAGCCAGTGACAGTGCCCTAGCCATTTCTGGAAAGGGACCCAGGGGAGCCCACGCTAGCAGCCCACTTCCCAGGGCCAGAGGCTAGATTCTGAATGATTCCCAAGCTGGCCACTCTCCTGCCACGGCGTGGAGGGACCCTCAACCTGGGACACACCAAAGACCCCCCAAACACCGACATCATAGCCAACGCAAAGGACACACACAAGGGCCGGGCACTATTCAGCAAGGCCTGCTGGACGTGCAGCCAGGGCCTAAAAGGGCAGACGGGCTGCTAAGGGAGCCCTCGCCGCTGCCCCGCACAGGATCACACGGCCTACGTCTCATGGCATCTGAAACACTGAAGCTGAGTGAGTCTCGGAGGGGCCTGGACCCCGAGAAAAGCCATTAGGGTAATGCTCCAGCAAGGCAGGGTCTCCGCAGAGAACAGGACGTGGAACCCAAAACCGCAGGTGGACAAGCTTCGGAGCAGAGGAAATGGGACAGAAAGGCGGGGAACATGACCCACAGCAGAGACCCCCCAGGAAGACATGGAGGCATCAGGAGCAGGGCACCTGACCAACAGTAACCGGAGGTCACACACCGAGTCCCGGTGGAAAAAGGATCAGTGCTGAAGTACTGAAGGAGGGGACAGCTGAAGATGTGGACCAGCTCGCCACAGGACAAAGCAGCGGGCTCAGACACTGTCGTCCAAATGCCAGAAGCTAGAGGGGTCTCAACCCTACAGGGAGGACGCTCGGGGCATGCAGGAGAGAAGACCTGACACCCCCATACCCCGCCCCCACGGCCACCTGCAGGGAGGGAGCGGGGCCTGGTCACCCTGCAGCAGGAGGAGGGGGGAGGGGAGAAGCCTGGCGGCAGGCTCACCTTCTTCACCAGGAGGCAGACGTGGTGGCCCTGGATAGAGCGGCTGTACATGGAGGCGCAGGAGTCCACTCGCTCCACAACTGTGACCACAGGGGGGGTGTGTGGTCAGAGCCTGGACACTGCGCACCGACCCCCTGCCTGGGATACACCCCCTCACCCCAGGAATAGGGCCCTCTCCCAGGACACAAACCCTGAAGTCACACAGCCCCAACAAGTGGGCCTCGGGATGGCAGGCCAGGGCCACATGAAACCAGTGGGTGCATGTATGGAATGAGGCTGTGCTAAATCTCATACCAGAAAAATGATGGTGGAAACAGATCTTGGCTAGAAGGTTCTGGAAGGACATGGTTATGCCATCAACTCTTATGGAGCTCATGTTCAGGTCCCCAGACTCCAGCAGCTTGGCAAAGGCATCACTGGGGGGTGGAGGGACACACACAGGGTGGAGGTTAAGGCTTCACAGCGTGCGATGGGACCCTTGAGTTGGACAATGGAGAGGTGAAGATGGGATGGCACGGGGGACAGAGGGGGAAAGGCATGGGCAGTAGGAGACAGAGTGCCCCAAGTGATCGGGACCAGAAGGGCGGGGACACCGCAGGACCCCAGGATCTCCCACAAAGCTCTCAGGACATGTCCATGGCTCCCTGCAGGTAGGTGTCCATGTACAGGTGTGCAGCAGCCTCGGATGGCCTGAGCCGAGTCAGATACCCAGGAGCAGGGCTCCCCGGGGGCAGGGCTCACCTGGAGCAGGGTGTAGTGATCAGGTACGAGGTGCAGCTGAAGTGCAGCTTGAAGTCGAGCTTCTCGTGAGTGGAGCCTTCATCGTTCTGCAACAAGGGAGGCAGTGACCTGGGGGCGAGGGGTCCACCTAGTCCCGAGGCCGCCCTGCCCCCAGCAGCAGGCTCACCTTGGCAATGAAGGACAGGGTGCCCTTGAGTTTCTGGGCCATGACGATGCTCTGTACTGTGAACACAAACCTTGCCTCATTGGAGACACCTAGAGGACAGAAGGGCAGCTCAGTGGCCCCTCAGGAAGCCACACACAAGTGCAAGACCCTAGACCAGGGGTGGGCTGGGGGATCAGCCTCCCCACGGACCTGGGGGCAGCTGGAAGGGCACAGGAACCCCGTCGTGGACTGAGGTGCCCTCGGGTCGTGCCATCTTGGTATTGAGCGAATCCAGCACGTTGAGTTCCATGTTCTTGAGGAAGCTGGGACTGAGGTTCTCGAGGATGACCGAGGCGGTGACCTGGCTGTCCTTCTGCAGGCTGCCCTGCACGTCGTACGTCTGCAGAGGCCGACCGGCGGGCAGCAAAAGGGGACAGCATCAGCCTTCAGTTCATGAAGACGGAGGGACAGTCCGCACACGGAGGCCCCGGGCCCTCCAGAGAGCCTGTGGTCAGGATCCTGCTCTACACTCGTCACTGTCCATCTGTCCTCCAACCAACCAGGCGCCTGCTCTCCTGCTACTCTGTCCTTACACTGAGATGCAAATTCTGCTCCTCCCGCGGCAGCCAGCCTAACACACACTGTGGGTCCCTGCGACATGACGGCGGGCAGGAGAGGTGACAAAATGCAAGCAGACACCTCCAGAGGAGCCTCCCACGCTGGCAGGAATGGACCGTGTGCGGGGCTAAGCACATCACTCACCATTTTAATATAGGTGTTCTCGGCAAGAAGGCAGTAGCTGGACATGGGCTGCGGAGGAAGGAAAGGGGCCTCAGCTGGACCTGGCTGCCACATGCATGAGCTGCTGGGGATGAGGTGCCCGAGGAAGCCCACTGGGCACAACCAGGCAACACCACAGGGCAGCCGCAGCGTCACGGCAGCCGCAGCGTCACGGCAGCCGCAGCGTCACGGCAGCACGCCCAAGACATTCACAGCCGCCCGCGGCTCACCTCCAGAGCTGGGTTCCAGCCACCTGAAGCCCCACCCTATCAAGAGTGCCTGGGGCTGCAGAGAGGGGGAGGGGCTGGAGTCTGGACATCTGCAGGACCCACGTGGAGGACCACGAGGCCAGCTTCCAAAGAGGCAGGGAGTCAGGCCCATCACCTTGACAGAAGGTGGTGGGACTGAGGGGGCTGTGTGTCAACACAGGCTGTGGGGAGCAGACCCTTCACCCTCCTTCATCCCATGTTACGTGTGTCTAATCACGGGCGGCGGGGAGCGGGCCCTTCACCACCTTCACCCCGTGCTGTATTGTGTGTGTCCAATCACGGGCTGTGGGGAGCAGACCCTTCACCCTCCTTCACCCCGAGTTACGTGTGTCTAATCACGGGCTGTGGGAAGCGGGCCCTTCACCCTCCTTCACCCCGTGCTGTGTTACATGTGTCCAATCATGGGCTGTGGGGAGCGGGCCCTTCACCACCTTCACCCCGTGTTGTGTGTGTCCAATCACAGGCTGTGGGGAGCGGGCCCTTCACCACCTTCACCCCGTGTTGTGTTGTGTGTGTCCAATCACAGGCTGTGGGGAGTGGGCCCTTCACCCTCCTTCACCCCGTGCTGTGTTACATGTGTCCAATCACGTGGGCTGTAGGGAGCGGGCCCATGACCTTCGCCCACCCTGTGGGGTGTTGTGTGTGTGTATGTGCAGGGCGGGTAGCTAGGCCCTGTCACTCTCCTGGGCACTGTGTGTAATGCGTGCACACACATGTATCACATGCACACGTGACACTTGTATACATGTGTGCCACACGTATGTACGGACGTGCACGCACGCAGGCCGCAGCCCTCACCGGCAGAGGCTCCTCCTCCTCCTCCTCCAGGGCCCCATTCTGCACCGGTTCCCCCAAGGCCTCCGCCTCACTGGGGAGCTTCTTCCTCCGGGATTTCTTCTTGTCCTTGGACTTCTCCTCTTTCTCCTTCTTGTGTTTCTTCTTCTTATGCTTAGAAGGCTTCTGAAAAGCAAAGCAAACAACAATCGGTGCTACCTGGCCCGCGCCAGCCACCCCGCCACCACAGGGCCTCACTCAGTCTCGGCTCAGAGCAGGGACGCCACTGAGTGGAACCGACGCAGGGGACAATGTCACACAGGGGCCAGTCTGGAACAAGCCATGTGTCTGTGCACAGCTGAAGGGCTGACGCAGGGCAGCCAACCACACGGCTGTCCAGATCAGAGAGCACAACTCAGCCACGAAGACAGCCAGTCACAGGACCGGAGCAGACTTCAGGGGTAAGGGACAGCCCATCGTCCTATGTGGAAAATCGTGCCAGTTACAGCCTCTAAAGACCTGCTGGAGGGTCAGCTACGGGTCAGTTTCAACTCCACGGCACACAACAGCAATCCTGTCCCAGGGAGCTCGGTGGCCTGGTGCGAAGAGTCTGTGCTGCAAACCCAAAGGCACCAGCTGGTCCTCAGGAGAATGGGCAATCTCCTCCTGTGTGACTTACGGCCTCTGAACACCCGCTGGAGGGTCAGCTGTGGGTCGGTTAAGTCATGGCACGCACTCACCCAGCCTTACGTGGGTGAAGAATGAGCGGAGCAGAGAAGCTCACGGGCTAAGGTGACGGGAATTCTGGAACCAGGCTGCCCGCAGCTGTGCACATTCACAGACCCGAGCCACGTCGCCGTGGGCTGTGGCCCCTGCGCCCATCTGCAGCCCCGCGCGGTCCCTGCCGCCAGTGCTCCAGGCAGCCCACCTTCTCCAGCTCCTCCTCATCCTCCTCCCGCTCGGGCTCCTCCTCGGGGGGCGCCCCACATTCTTCCGTGGGGGCAGTCACAGCGGCGTCCACCTCGGGCTCAGCCTGCAGGGGCATGCCAGTGTCGTTCTTAGCTGCCCCCCCAACCCAAGTCCCACCCCATCGAGGAGGGAGCGACAGTGAGGGGACAGCGAGGCCCCCACGGCAGGTGGGACAGAGCCCGGCGAGGACCTTGTGCTGCTGCGGCCCTCAGAGAGCTGGCCGGCCCCAACCGTCACAGGACGGCTCACACACACCCAGCACCCTGGGGGCTCAGCCACACAGGGGTGGCCTCCTGAGCCCCGCCAGGCACTCACCAAGGACGGGGTGGGGCCTGGGGCTGCGGCAGGTGGCGGCGTGGTGGACAGCCAGAAGTCCAGGTCCTCCCCCTGCAGCCAGAGAGGACAGATGGCTTGGTGGGACAGTGGTGCTCTCCCATGGACCCTTGTCCCACAGAACTCCCCGAGAGTGGCCCTACACACCCCACCATATCGCCACTTGGAGCGCAGTGGCCCTTCCCGGCCTGTTTGCCCCCGCGGCAGGCAGGGGTGGGGGAAGGCAGGACGGCCTCGGGGCACTCCCTTGCCCTGTCCTTAGGCAGCATGGCCTCGCCTGGGGGTGCTACCCTCTCAGTCCTTCCCCCTGTCCTCAGGCAGGCGGCCTTGCCTACCTTCCCCTTGTCCTTGTCCTTGACCTTCTCCTTCCTCCGCTCCTTCTCCCTATGCTTTTTCTCCTTCTTTTTCGGCTTTTTGCTCTTCTTCTCTGCCACGGGGGCATCGTCCTTCTCAGGGGACTGTGGGGTCTCGGAGTTGCGGTGTTTCTGGACAGGCAGCTTCTCGCTGTCAGCCAAGGGTCTGGAGAGGAGGAGGGGTGCAGATCACTAACTGGGGGCGGGTCCTCGCGCAGTGGACGTTGAGGCCCCAGCGGGCAGCTAAAGGAAGGAGGGCAGGCCCTGCAGCTGCTCTTCAGCCTGCACGGCCCAAGTCAAGAACAAGGCAGCACAGGACACGGCCTGCTCGGCACAAAGCACGCACGAGGGCAGCAGAGGAGAGCAGACAGACAGACAGAATCCTCTGAAGGACAAGCCCTTAGCAGAGACCTGGCTTGTGCTCCCACAGCCCCCACAGGCCATGCTGGCCGTGGGTGGGCACACTGGTGGCATGCACTGGGACTATGGGACACGCTCTAGTCAAGCCCTGACCACCACGTGTGGGTCAGCTGTCCCAAGCACAGCCGGGCAACCCAGAACCCCAGGCTGAAGGCCCTGGGGATGATGTGGTCCACTACAAGGGTCAGAAGTTCGGGACTCAGCTTACCTCTGAGGCTTCCCTGAAACCAGACTGAGCCACAGACGCAAAGACAGGGAGACAGAGCGACAGACGGGGGTGGAGAACGAGGACACCAGAGAGAGGAAGAGGCAGGGAAAGACAGAGCCCGCAGTGAGAATGCAGGTGGCCGGAGGCCAGGATGATTCTGAGACACACTAGAGTCACTGGTAGGCCACCGAAGCTACACCCCCAGTCCCCATGCCCACTGCCACTTCTGTCTGTGGTCAGGAACTCAACCACGCTGTCCCCAGGGCTCTGAAGGACTCCCAAAGGCCCAGGCTGGGTCAGGGGACCACTCCCAGAAGGGTGCACACGGCTGCCCTGTGGAAAGGGCACCTCTGCCATGGAGCCCCCTCTGGACTAGCCTCAGCTCCACACACACAGCCCTGATGAGGTACAAGGGCAGCTCTGCTGTGCAGACCATCCAGGTCGGCCTCGCCCCCCCACCCCACCCTCCACCTGCAGAGACCACCCAGGTCAGCCTCAGCCCCACAAACCCCATCCACACCCCATCAAGGGGCACCAGGGGCAGCTCTGCCCTCTCAGGACTTGCCCCAGCTGCCTGCCCACCACCCCACGGTGGCCTGTCCCCAGGCAGGGCTGCTCGCTGCACCTGCCCGACAGCCAGTGCTGCTGTCAAGTGCCGTCTGGTGGGAAGCGACCCCGTCGTTCTGCAGGCTGCCACCTTCACGAGAGCCGGTGACCAGGGCTTCTGGGTACAGGGCCACCATGTGGGCTTGAACCATCAGCCTCTTGGCTAGTGGACATAAAATTAACCATCGCACCAGCAAGCACTATGTCGCACTGGTGGGGCCTCCGGCTCCAGGCTGGAAAGCAGTGAGGGCCACTGGAGCACATGTGACCAAGGTCAGGACCTGAGCCACCCACCACCCAGGAGGTGGGCGTGCCCTGGCTTATGACACCCCTGCCCGAGGCTCATGTCACTCCTACCAGGAGGCTCTCCCAGAGGAACGGAGGGGACAGTCAGTGCTGAGCAGAAGGGGTGGGGTCGGGGGAGTGTCGGAAGTGGGGGACGGGGAGCATGAAGGCTGGAGGGGGACAGAGCTTTAGAAAACAGAATGATGGGGGTAAGGAGATGGGGGCATGGGACAGTGTGAAGACAAGACCATGGAGAGGGATGGAGTTGGGAGGATGCAGGATGGAGGGGGAACAAGCCAGTGGGAGATGAGAAGGGGGACAAGCAGTGGGGGGAGACTCTATGGTGTGGCAGATGTGAGAGGGGACGCAGGACAGTGAAAAGGGAACGAGATGATGGGGTGTGTGGAGAGGGGAGGGCAGAGGTGGGGAGGCGGGACGGTGGAGGTAACAGGTGAGGGAGAAGAGGTGGGGGCGAAAGGATGGACAGGAGGGACATGATGGTCAGAGGCGTGTGAGGGGAGGGACAGAGGCGGAGGGGACGAGCTGGTGGAGCGTGGCAGGGCGGAGGTGGGGAAGACAGGTTGAGGGGCATGGAGGTGAGTGGGGGCACCAGGATGACAGGCGAGGGGGAGGTGGGGAAGACGGAGGTGGGGGAGATAAGATGGTGGAGAGAACAGGGAAGGGTCAGAGGCGGGAGGAAGGGACAGTAGGGGTGATGGGAGGAGGTGGGGGGACGGAGACGGCTTCTCAGGGCTGGGGCAGCACAGCCTGGCTCCTGAAAGCAGGGGGACGAGCCAGCTAGGTCCTCGGGAAGCAGGGGCCCCAGGAGCTGAGGACCCGAGAACAGCGTGTGCTGTGTAGTGTCCGTCTGCCGATTCGGGGAGGGGGCAGCAGGTGGGCAGCCAAGACAGCTTCCTGAGAAATCCTGCCTCTACCCTGTTGAGCAAAGCGCTAAGCCCACCTTAGAGACCATGTGTGTCTGTCCGTGTGTCCATCTATGCTGGGAGCCCACACACAGTCCAATCTCACAAGTGTGTACATGGGTCTGTCCGAGCGGCCCCTGGGCTCAGCCCTGCCCCCGCTGGACCAACTCACTTGTCCAGGTCGATGTCCAGGGCTCTGTAGGGGTCGTTGGGGTCTTTGTCATCGTCATCACTGGGCAGGGCATTCTGAAAGACGGGATGGAGTGGCTCTTTGGGGGGCTGCGTGGCTCTGCCCCGACTCCTCCAAGTCCCAGGGCCCCTCCAGGGAAGGACATACTGACTGAGGGGAGACAATTCTGGAGCTCTAAGGGCCATTCATGGCCACGGCGGGCAGCACAGCCCACCTCTACATGCTCCACGTGCTCAGGGCCACGGCGGGCAGCACAGCCCAGCTCCCAGGCCATGGATGCAGAGGTCCGCTGGGCTCACCTCCGGCATCTCCTCGGTGACAATGTCCACCTGCTGGGCTGGGGCGATGTCCTCGTCACTCTCCGTGTGCAGCGAGCTATGCCGCCGGTGCCGCCCTTCACGCCGCTTCTCCTTCCGTTGTTTCTTCCGCTTCCGATCCTTCTCCAGACGCTGCCTGTGCCGCCGCTCCTGCTCCAGCTTCACGTACTGGTCGGACACGGGCATCCCTGTGCAGGGACGGGTCAGCCGGGGCCAGGTGAGCACAGGCAGGGTGCACGCAGGCTGCCCAGCACAGAATGCAGCTCCCAGCCGTCAATGAGACGCTTACCCGGGACTTTGAGAGGGACCGAGAGGTCGATCTGCACCACGGGGATGTGATCCACACCGGGAGAGTCCTGGTACCTCTGGGGACAAAGGCCAGGGCATCTGGATGACCATCACAGGACCCCCGAGGGAACACACCCAGGCCCCAACGCTATCCCTGAGCAGCCAGCACCTTCCGGCGGGGAACGCACCTGCCCGGGGAGGCTGCAGTGAGGACCGAGCGTCACTGAGAACCACATTTCTGTGCATAAGAACCATGAGGTTCTATCCTGTGAGGCCTGCGTGTCTGGGGGCCGTGTGTCATGTGTCTCTGTGGGCCACGTGTGCCTGTGAGGGCTGCACGTTTTTCTGAGGACCATGTGTCTGTCTATAAGGACTGCGGATCTTTGCAGGTGTGAAGGCTGCATGTCTCTACGAGAACCTTGTGTCTCTGCATCTGTGAGGGTCACTTGTGTGTCTCTTTGAGGGCCACACAGCTCTATGAGGACCTCATGCCTCTGAGAGAACCATGCACTTCTACTTCTAAGGACCACGTGTCTCCATGAGGGCTACAGATCTCTATTTCTGAGACCAAATGTCTCTATGTCTATGCGGTGTCTCGGTATCTGTGAGGGTGTCTCGACGTCTGTGAGGCCCCCGTGTCTCTCTGAGGGCCACGTGTCTCTGCATCTGTGATCAGGGCTGCGTGTGTGGACACCCTTACCTTCTGTGGGGACGGCGAGCTCTTAATGTAGAACGGGTTGTTGGCCTGCTCCTGCTTCCGGGCTTCCCGACGCTAGAAGCAGAGGAGGCACTCGGGTCAAGAGTGAAGACCATGCAGACCAAGGCCTGGCCTTTGGGCCACCCTGACGTCTCACCAGAAGCTCTTGGGACTTAGGGATACAGCCCTTGGCTACTAAAGCCCGAAAAGGGACCGTGGTGAGAGTGGCACAGTAATCACCCCTTGAGTCCCGGGGCTGGAGACCTGCCAGGCTGACCACTGCCACAGCAAAACCCAACCCTGAACCTTTACTGCAGCACACTGCAAACTGTCCGGAGGAACAGGGCTGGCCACGTGCAGGGCTGTGCGAGAGGCAGTCCAGAGCACCCACCCACAGGCCCGTCCAGGGCACCCACCCCACAGGCCCGTCCAGGGCACCCACCCACAGGCCCGTTCAGGGCACCCACCCAC